AGGGAAAATGTTGCATTTAAAAGATAAAAAAATGTGTTCCAATGTTCCGTGTTCATATGTGTTTATGCCATACTGTGTTACAATGTTCATCATGTTGAACAAGAAAGATAGAGCTGTATCACTAATACACTTCCATCATGAGGTGAGGAAAAGTTTATTAAGAATAAAATATTAGTCTGGTTGTCTTTGCAGTATTCTGCAGGCCAAGTTCCTATACTGTGATATATTGTGTATCCCTTCATAGAAGAAGTAGTGACTCAAACCATTCATTATGCTCAGATATTGAGAAGTGTTTTGAAGACAGAAGTGTTCCTCCTGGCCATCACTCCAGTCTGCACTGAAGACCTCTCCATGACTTCTCAGAGTAAAGCTCCAAAAACCACTGAGGACTTGGCTTTCCAGATACTCCTGCTTTCCCAGGTTGGAACTGGGACTCTGGCCAACATTCTTCTGTTTTTCCATAATATCTCTCCCATGTTTACTGGCTCTCGAATGAGGTCCACACAGGTTATTGTCACCAACTTGGCTATGGCCAATGCCTTCCTTCTCCTCATTACTGCATTTCCAAGCAATGTGATGGTTTTTGCTCCTAGGAGTCCTGCAACTAACATGCAATGTAAAATTGAGTTCTTCGTTCGCCTGGTGGCTCGAAGCACAAACATGTGCTTCACCTGTGTCTTGAGCATCCATCAGTTTCTCACTCTTGCTCCTGTACATTGGGGTAGGCTGATGCTTCGAGGAAGAGCCCCTAATGTCCTGAGTTATTCTTGTTACTGTTGTTGGTTGTTCAGTGTCTTAAATAACATCTACATTCCAATGAAAGTCAGTGGTCCACAGAGCACAGGCAATGACACTAACAATATAAGAAAGTGGGTCTGTTCCATATCTGGATTCAGTGTAGGCATGGTCATCTTGCGTTTTTCCCATGATGCCATATTTATAAGCATCATGGTCTGGTCCAGTGTCTCCATGGTGCTTCTCCTCTATAGACATCACCAACGAACACAGCACATTCTCACTGCAAACAGGAACCACCGAGGCCATGCTGAGACCAGAGCAGCCCACACCATCCTCATGCTGGTGGTCACCTTTGTAAGCTTTTATGTTCTAGACTGTATTTGCAGTTTGTTTCAGGTTTCTTTCATGGACTCTCATCTCTGGTTCAGGCATGTAAATGAAGCTTTGACTGCAAGCTTCCCCACTATTTCTCCTTTCCTGTTGATCTTTAGGGATCCTAAGGATCCCTGTTCTGTGCTCTTCAACTGCTGAAAACCACAGTCAACATGACAAACAGAAGACAGCTTTACTAGCAGCAGTACACACTATTTAGTAAAAGTTGATTGAAAATTCTTCCTCATAAAACAGACATGTTGACTCACTAAACTTATTCCAGCATTCTAGAGACTGTGCCAGGAGGATTGCAATGTAATCAATGGCATGTCAGGCTGTAGAGTGAGATCCAGTCCGACTTGTGATAATGAGACCCAGTCTCACAACTCCTTATATGTACCCTAAAGGAGAAGATAATATATAAGTGAGAGAAAAAGAAAGAAAAAGAATGACAGTCATCTCATAAATATTCAGTATTGCCTTAGGAGATCAATGTGTTC